ATCGATATATTTTTGTCAAAATTTTATGATATCTTCAAACATATATTTTATTGAAAAATAAATACATCATCGCTTTCTCAAAATCACATAAAGTATAACATCGACTGAGATAAGAAATAAAATGAAATATTAAAATCATGATGTATCTCGCTGCATTGTGCGAGTACGCTTCTAGTATATATATATATGTAAGGACAAAATATACGAAATAACAACTTATTTTTACAAATTTTCTTATTATAGGATTTTACTTTCAGTTTTTCATATTACAACAATGTACTTTCAAAATTATTAAGATATCGTATTTTACCCATTATAACATCGGGTAACCTTTTAAATTAAATTACTCATTATATCATGTTTCTTTGTCACCCCATCCTCTACGTAGGTAGTCCATATATACGATAGTGTTGACATGACATTTCTTATTACATGATTGTACTTTTAAAATTACTTTATTATTATAAAATACCAATTTTTATTACGACGTTATACTTTTAACTTTAATGTTTTTATCATTGTAAATTTAATTAAAATATTATAATTATTTTAAAATGGAAATTTAATATTGAATAATGAGTTTGTAGGCATATGGGATTTTGTAACATGTGGTCTGGCAAAATTGACATATCATCTTTGTGGGCGTGACACGCAAATTGCTGGAAAGATGCTATTGGACCCATCTCTTTGAAGTTATAACATACCATTTACACTAATTTACATTTTTAAGTACATTATATATTTTTACTTCTCTCCTAAATATGAAAGGTGTGACCCTTCGGATGAAAATATGATGCCTTAAATTTACACGTTTCATATTCATCCAACACTCATGAACTCACACCTAAAATCATAGGGTATTTTCACCCACTTAAAAGTTTTAAAAAACTTTGGATTTTACCCTTTTTTTAATAATAATTTAAAGATTATTTGTCAGTTGCAGAATGATTATTTCATCCTTTTTCACCATATTTTTTAGTGTACACAACATGTAAACCATGTGTGAAACATTTTAAGAAAATATGAATCAAACACCTCCCCTTCACATTATCTACACCTCCTCACCCCGTATCCATCGCCACACTCCCTTTCAGTGTCTTAACGTCTCTCCGATAACACCACTATTGCTCCAACCGCTGTTCAACCTCCAAAAACGCCTCTCCCGTCAACTGTTTTTCATTGCGTCTAAATTGACATACGTATGCTTTTTCTTTTTTTCTTTCTAATTTACATAACTTCAATTCCCCACTGGTCAAATTCCATCTCTTGAATGAATCCCCCCGATGTCATCTGCTTTTGTTTTTTTGTCTATTTAATTTGAGAGAAAAATCGAAGCAACATAAACGAATCAATCAACACTCCTTTTTTTACTTTATGCATAGTTACAACTTGTTTTATACTTCTCTTTGTTCTTTGTTTTGGATCCTTCACGCCACCACTCTGTTTTCTTCTTCTGATGTCATCGATGAACAACCAAGAAACATAAATGAAAAACAAAACAAATTGGTTTAAACGCATGCCTTAAAACCCAAATGGTGTACGGGGGTTTATTTATTTTTTCTTAAGTGATTTATACACTTGTACATATGCAATCAAAAGTTGTATAGTAAACAAAATACAAAAAGAGTAAATAAACCAAGATGCCTCACACTGGGGCGCTGAGATGTGGGGTAATAGAGTTAGACATAAATATATGATCTGTAACAAAAATTAAATCATAATGTAAATATTTCATTTGAGGGATTCTTAGTTTTCATAGACAATGTACAAGAAATATATATATATATACTATATTATAAGATGTTTGACAAAAACTCTTAAAAACCATTTTTATGCATAAAATACTGTTTATTGATGCATATTACTTAAAATTTAATATTACAAGTAATTTTGCGTAAGTACAACTTATTAAAGCTTCATTTTTAAATTCGTGTAACTAACTGCTGATAAGCATAATCAAATACAAGATAAACATTCATTTAAATATAGAAAATCTAAAATATAATTAAGATAATCATTGAGTTCTAACAGAATGTTGAATTATTATATTTATAAAAAATTATATTATTAAACCAAAAATAAATTACGTTGTTGTAAAATCTAAATTAAATTATAATAAAAAATTAAATTAAAGAATTTACACCAAAAAAACAAGAACTATTAAGTAGGTAATTTGATACTATTATCGATTTATTTTTTTGAAAATTATATTTAATTCAAAAATAAAAATATTATCGTTTTCTCAAAACCACATAAAATTGTATTATATCGATAGAGACAAAAAATAAAAACTAAAAATTGAAATCGAGTTTTAGCTCACTGCATTGCACGAATACCCTTATAGTGTATGTATATATATATATACACACACAAAAGATATTGAGGTAAATTCTAAGGAAATAACCAAAAAACCATGAAAAATCAGATAAAAAAAATATATCAATATAAATATTAAATTAAAGATAATAAAATGAAGGTTTTTATATAATATGTTTCGTTTCAATTTTGACTATATGACATCAATTTTTGACTTAAAGTATAAGAAAGATACTTTTATTTAAAAAAAGTGGGTATAACGTTATAACCGTTTTTTAATTAGATGAGTTAGAATCATATAAAAATCTAATGATTTGAATAACCCTCACGGTTTCTTTTTCTAAGAGCACCTTTTATAACTTTTCCCCATATATATAAAACTTATATAAATTATTTGTTTTTTAAAGAAAAATATTAAAATACACATCACTTAACGTCACTTGTAAGGGAGGTAGTCCGACGGACTAAAATCGTAACAATTTACAAACAAAACTGGCTGTCAGTATAATAAATGAAGTTCAGGGACCAAAGGTGGAATTTAAAACAGACCACAGGACCAAAAAAGTAATTTTACTCTTATGCAGATATTCTATTTTTCGAAAAAGTTGTGTAACGACGTCACTTTATCGTCAAAAGCTTTCCTTTTCGTGTCTTCTCCACTTCGACTTCTTTGTCCGTTTCCCTCACAAAATAAGTAAAGTGAATCGCAGGAAGATTTCTGCACATTATTTTAGTGAGAGAAACATATAGATACATTTACGTATAGAGAGGAAAGTGAACGTTTTTTTGCTGTATGTCACTGGAGTACTACCACAGTGGTTACCAGGAATACGGCGCTTACAGTGAGCTTGATAACCCTCTGCAATGGCCTCAACTTCGGAAAAAGCGACGTCTCTTCTCCTCCGAGAGGTTACTTCCTCCTCTGCCGCCGATGTCGTCCAGGATTGGACCACTGATCCTTCCGTCGGCGATCAGATTCGCCACCGTGGCACAGCTACTTCTGTCGGTGACTTAATTCGTCCTGTCGTTGCTCAATCCTCCGCTGCTACCGCTGCTGCTAAAGGTGGTCACTCGATTTCATTGATTTTTGTGAAAATTTAGTTTGATTACTACTGTTTGTTGATTTTAGTTATGATGTCTGATTTGTTGGTAAGAATTAGGTAAAAAGAGAAGTCGATTTAATAAGCGATCGTAGTTGTGAAAACGTGTTGATAATATGCCTTCGATCTTCATGAGTACAAAACTTATAGATTCATTTACAGAAGTTTTCGTTAACTGTACTTACAGATCGATAGATTGCGATTATGGAATTGACGTAACAGATTCAAACGAAAAGGCTGTGCTTTTGAAGGATGACCCGGATTTTTTTTTCATACGATGGCACCATTTGACTATAACAAATAACTATTTGACTAAGAAAATGACACTAACACAATTCGTGTGGAATAAAAGCTTGCAAACCAGATCTACCAAATAAAACTTGTTCACATTGTAGTTTTGAAATACATATGGTGGCACACAACAAATTAATATGGTTGCACCTTTCACGAACCTAAATTTTTTTACCATTCGCCGGAGGAATATACGTGCCACCGTAACCATCAAAGTAGGTGCGTCCCTGGATTACACTACAAAAAAAGATAGCAAAGATATACACACACAAATTACAGTAGCTACGATGGATGTATTAGAGTATTAGTTTTGTCTTACGATAGAAATTAGAGAGGCATTGAGGTGAGCTGTAGTTTACATTCATTGATGGAAGGCCTAGACAATGTAAAATCGGACCCCAAAATTTTGGGGCCGTGGTCCAGAATCACGCATTTAACAATATTAAAGAACAGCCCTGAGAATCCTACGTGTCTACAAAATGATGACATACAATACATTTGACTATCTATATACTTCTGATATAGAATATAGTATGCCATGTCTGATCTTTTAAGAAATGGGTTTTGTGTAACCTAACTCATATCTCCTTTACCAATTCCTATTGGAAGCCATGGATATAGTCTATAGGGTTGGTGGACATCCCTTTGGTGTAACCTTATCAGTAATTGCTTTGGTCTGAAGTATCATGAATACTTTGATTGAAATTTGTTCCTTCAGGAACTGGGCCAACGAGTATGGTCAGGGCGCAGACTCGCCATCCACTTGATCCTCTAGCTGCTGCTGAAATCTCCATAGCCGTGGCAACTGTTAGGGCTGCTGGAGCAACTCCAGAGGTTATTAGATTCCCACACATTTGTAGCTCTTAACTATATAACATCCTTTTGGTTTATAACATAACAGATAATCTTAATGCAAAATTTCAGGTAAGAGATAGCATGCGGTTTATAGAGGTGGTGCTGGTGGAACCAGCGAAAAGCGTGGTTGCATTAGCCGATGCGTATTTCTTCCCACCTTTTCAACCATCGTTGTTGCCAAGGACAAAAGGGGGACCCATAATTCCCACGAAACTTCCACCTCGACAAGCTAGACTTATCGTTTACAACAAGAAATCAAATGAAACTAGCATATGGATTGTTGAACTATCAGAGGTTCATGCTCTAACTCGAGGTGGCCACCATAGAGGCAAAGTCATTTCATCTAAAGTAGTGCCTGATGTACAACCTCCTATGGTATGGAACTTTTTCCTAATGAGATTTTGTTTCTCATTCTTTGTGTTCATATGCCTTAAAAGCATTTTTCTGCTGTTCTTTTATTAAGCACATAATTTTACTGATTGATTGATTTTGTGGCCTCAAGGAAATTTCTGCTAGCAGGCATTCTTATCTCTTGAATTGAGGTTTTAGAATCATAAATCTCTTGTGACGTTTACTGAGAAAAAAAAAAGGCAATATATTTGATTTTGATTGTGTAGATATTGATTTTGGCTTAAAACAATAGTTATCCTGTTAATGATGCGGAAGTACAAAACAACACACCACCAGAAACTGCTTTTCAGAAATCTTTTCTTAGCGTTTAACTAGCCACCTCCATGTGTCAAATGCATTTGTTTGTACTCTAGAAAGATCCAGTACTGGCCTCACCATGTTATGAATCGAACTCTCAAATCTATGAACGAACAGATCACAAAGGCAAATGAGTCGGCTGTATGATTAATTGAAAGGTAAACCGGAAACATCCAGCCTTCGAGAGTCTAGTCTCTTCCTAACAAAACCATAGACAATTTTCTGGATGCCCCCTTCTACACCCTTCCCTTCCCTTTTATACTACTTACAAACCTCATTATTCTAGAATATCTAAAGATAATGATGGGCTGGGGCTTGGGTCATTGCATAACATTACCCCGCCCCCAAAGAACCACCTTGTCCTCGAGGTGGATAGAAAAAATAGAGGAACTTCTGCTTCCCTGTTGCAACATCTTATTAACAGTTAGGTGGCAGCTGGTTGGGGAGATGTAACCGGGCAGCAACAGTTTCTTTATTTTTTCTATCCGCCTTGAGGACAAGGTGGTTCTCTTCGGGCGGGGTGATGTTATGCACTGACCGAAGCCCATCATTATGTTTAGATATTATAGAATAATGCGGTTAGTAAGCAGTATAAAAGGGAAGGGAAGGGGGCATCCGGAAGATTACCTATGGTTTTGTTAGGGAGAGACTAGGCTCTAGAATGCTAGATGTTTCTGGTTTACCTTCCAATTGATAATACAGCGACTCGTTTGCGTCTGTGACCTGCTCGTTCATAGATTCTAGAGTTTGATTCATAACACACCACTCTTCTTTGATTAATTTTTACTCTATCTTTTGTTCTACTCTGTCAATAATAGGATGCTGTGGAATATGCTGAATGTGAAGCCATTGTAAAGGACTTCCCTCCATTTCGGGAGGCCATGAAGAGGAGGGGCATTGAAGATATGGACCTTGTTATGGTAGATCCCTGGTAAGTTATTGCATTCTATTTTTCTTTACATTTCTCACATATTTAGATGCTAATGCTTAGGATGCCAAATCTATATTTCAGGTGTGTTGGTTATCACAGTGAAGCTGATGCTCCTAAACGTAGACTAGCGAAACCACTTATATTCTGTCGGACAGAAAGCGACTGTCCCATGGAAAATGGTTATGCTCGTCCTGTTGAAGGAATCGATGTGCTAGTTGATATGCAAAATATGGTGGTGATAGAGTTTAAAGACCGCAAACTTGTTCCTCTACCACCAGCAGATCCATTGAGAAATTACACGGCTGGTGAAACAAGGGGAGGTGTTGATCGAAGTGATGTGAAACCACTAAACATTATTCAGCCTGATGGTCCTAGTTTTCGTGTTGATGGCCATTTTGTTCAGTGGCAGAAGGTCCGTCCTATTTTTCTGTCTTCTTTTCTATCTACCAATTTTAGTCGAGTCATAAACTTGTTAGGGATTAACTTGTCTTTTTGTTAATTTGGGGCAGTGGAATTTTCGTATTGGTTTCACTCCTAGGGAGGGTTTGGTCATTTATTCCGTTGCATATGTTGACGGTAGCCGAGGTCGGAGACCCGTGGCACACAGATTAAGCTTTGTAGAAATGGTGGTTCCTTACGGTGACCCCAATGATCCTCATTACAGGAAGAATGCATTTGATGCGGGGGAAGATGGACTTGGTAAAAATGCTCATTCTCTTAAAAAGGTAATCCTGCCTTTTAAGTTGCTGGTTCAGTGGTTTGTGCTTCATTTTATTTTCTAATTGAATCATCCTATGAACCACATAAGTCAAAGAAACATGATTTTGTATAACATGTATTTATGTTTAGGGTTGTGATTGTTTGGGCTATGTCAAGTATTTTGATGCTCACTTAACAAATTTCACTGGGGGTGTTGAGACGATCGAAGATTGTGTTTGCTTGCATGAAGAGGATCATGGAATCTTATGGAAGCATCAGGATTGGAGAACAGGTTTAGCTGAAGTACGCCGGTCAAGAAGGCTAGTGGTTTCTTTTATATGTACCGTGGCCAACTACGAGTATGGATTCTATTGGTATTTTTATCAGGCGAGTCACGACCCATGATTCTTTATTTTTTCTTGTACTTTGTAACATCCCAGGCCAACCGTACAAGATATTGTCCGTGTTGTCCACACACCTGGACTCACAGTGTTTAAATGCGTCTGATAGAGGAGGTATCAAGTCGCTTATAAGGCAACTTATGTGCCCCTACCCAAGTTGCCTTATAAGCGACTTGATACCTCTATCCGACGCGTTTCAAAACGTGAGTCCAGGTGTGTGGACAAAATGGACAATATCTTGTACAATTGGCCTGAGATGTTATAGATGGTATCAGAGCTTGGAACCGTGCTGGTGTGCCAGCGAGGATGCTAGGCTCCCAAAGGGTTGGATTTTGGGGAGGCGAACGAAGGTTGCCTTATAGGGACTTGATACCTCTTCTATCAGACACGTTTTAAAACCGTGAGTCCAGGTGTATGGACAATATCTGGTACAGTTGGCCTGTGATGTTACATACTTGCTCGTATTGCTAAACTTTGTAATAAAGGTGGTTGACATATTCGAGCCATGCACTATCTTTTGATTTTTAAGATAGCAATTTCAGGAATAATCAGGATAATATCTTCTTACAGGATGGAAAAATAGAAGCGGAGGTGAAATTAACTGGAATTCTCAGCTTAGGAGCTCTACAACCTGGAGAAGCTAGAAAATATGGGACTATGATTGCTCCTGGACTCTATGCTCCTGTTCATCAACACTTCTTTGTTGCTCGCATGGATATGTCCGTTGATTGTAAGCCCGGTGAATCCCACAATCAGGTTAGCATTTCCAATTTCTACAATTTACTCCTAATTGCAATGGGTGATCAAATGTTTGAACCGTGGGCTAACTCTAGTATTCTGCACTAGCTATAATATTTTGAGCGTTTATTTGAACGTATAATTTGATATTAACGGTGTGGTGTTGGGATGAGGTAGATCGACACTTATTTGAGCATGTGATACTAGTCTTGCTCTTCCCATCTTATTTCTTGTGCTATTTCATTTTGCTTCTTCTGGATTTGGACATCAATTCTTGTACCTTAAGAAATACATATCAAGTTTCAACGATGAGATCGTACTTCATATATAATATATATACCGCTTTGATTACAGGTGGTTGAGTTGGATGTTAAAGTTGAAGGACCAGGAGATGCAAATGTTCACAACAACGCGTTCTATGCTGAAGAGAAACTGTTGAAATCTGAATTAGAAGCAATGCGTGATTGTAATCCTTCGTCTGCCCGACATTGGGTTGTAAGTTTTCTAACACCTACCTTTTTCAGTAGTCTCTCTTTCTCTCATATTTTAAATTGTTCTATATGTAAAAAATAAAATTGTTAAGGCATGAGTGATACTGCTTGCTAGTGCTATTTCTATTGACTTTCCAGATGCCTTTTTTAACTTGAACATCGACTTATAAATATTTAATGAAGTTTGAGTTTGATGGACAATGTGTGCCCGTCTAGCCTTCGCTGAAGGGCCGTGTTAGAGTCCCACCTTGGACCATTTCTCCTCTATATATGTTGGGACCTCCCTTATCTCGTAACGAGGTTCCACATATTCTCATATGATATCAGAGACTCGACACTTTGGGACAATCTGTGCCTGTCAAGCCTTCTCTGAAAGGAGACCCGTTAGAGTCTTACATCGACTAAACTTGAACCATTTATCCTCAGTATGTTGGAACATCTCCTCTTCTCAATGACTCTTTTGGAGGGTAATCTTATAGGGTTTCACATATTCTCACATAGAGAATGTGACATTTTGATTTTTTGAAAGAACTAGATTGCTTATGAATGATGCAATTTCCATGATTCAGATCAGGAACACGCGAACTGTAAACCGAACAGGGCAGTTGACAGGCTACAAACTAGTACCTGGATCAAATTGTTTACCACTAGGTGGTGCAGAGGCCAAGTTTTTGAGAAGAGCTGCTTTCTTGATGCACAATCTGTGGGTCACGCCATATAAATCAGACGAAATGTTTCCTGGTGGGGAGTTCCCTAATCAAAATCCACGTGTTGGTGAGGGATTGGCTACATGGGTTAAGCAGAACCGGTCTCTAGAAGAAACTGACTTGGTTCTTTGGTATCCACATACTTCCTTCGCATTTTTATCAAAATATAACATCTCGACTTCAAAGTTCAAATGAGAATCATAAATATTTTGAAAATCGGTGAGAACTAGTATATATCTATATAGGGTATATGATCAGGTTCAGGGGAAAACCGCAAAAAATGAAAAACCGAGGAACACACTGGTAACCGTTCATCTGGACGGTATGCACATGTCCAGATGAATGGTTACTAGAGTAATCTTTAGTTTTTCATTTTTTTGGGAGGTTTTCCCTAGAACCTCCCTCTCTGTCTCTCTCTCTCTCTCTCTATATATATATATATATATATATATATATATATATAGACCAAGGATCGTGTGAGAATAAGAGTTAGGGGAGAAGTGTAAGAAGGGATCTGGACCCTTGATCACTTTTAATCTCATATATAGGGGTGGGTTTTAGTGAGAAGGGATCTCCACCCTTAGATCAACCTGATTGATGATCAACACTGATGAGATGCACTGGATCAATTCCCATGAGAAGCGCAATTCATGGGGTGGCGGTGTGATTAAAAGTGATCAAGGGTCCAGATCCTTTTTTAAGCTTCTCACCTTAACTCGTATTCTCACATGATCCTTCTTGTGCATATATATATATTCATCAATGTAAATATGTACTATATGACATTGGTGCATATACTAGCTGATATTCATATAATGTATATGCATAAATACAGGTTCTCACGGTTCTCAAGTATATGTGATTCTCATCAACTGTGTTTATGTTCCCATAGTTACGAATGTATACTGTTGAATGGTCGCAGGTATGTATTTGGAATAACACACGTTCCTCGACTGGAAGATTGGCCTGTTATGCCAGTAGAACACATTGGATTTGTTCTTATGGTACCATTGCTCATCTTCATATATACATTACCATCAGTTTTCACAATTAGACTTCCACTTGCATCAACTAACACAATCCCCATCTGATTGATGATCTTGGTGCATTGATTTGCAGCCACATGGATTCTTCAACTGCTCTCCAGCGGTGGATGTTCCCCCGAGCTCGTTGGCTGATTTGGAATTGAAGGAAAACGGAATGGTCGAAAAAGCATGCCATAATGGTCTCGTTTCAAAGATGTGAAAGAAGGATCGTAACCACGTAAGTGTACTCTAGAATTCAATTCTTATTTGTGATCTCAAATGCTATGTTGAGAGCATTCTTTACTTCAATCCATGATCTGAAACTAGGTTACTATGATTCACATCTTCCCACGGTTGTTTGTGGGAAGGTGTGGGCATTTGCCTCTATTTTATTTTAATTCTACCTGTTTAATTTCGTATAGAAGACTTGTTACAATGGTATCTGGGTTTTGGGTTACCGGTAAATCTCAACCTCTCCGGAGATAACGGGTTCAAGTCTCTCACAGAAGGTAATGAGTGTGTGATTATTTGCAGTACATTAATATATACTTCCAAACAAAAAAAAGACGAGATCTCTTTAGGGATGAAACGGGATGGGTAGTATATCCCCGGCCTTGTCTTGACTAATCCCCAACGGGTTTGGGAGGAAAGGAATCCGCAGCTGGTTCGGGGAACCCATTGGGTACCGAAATGGGGTGGGTATAGGGTTGGTAGTGTCATTCCCGACCCCACTTTACTTTAAGTATGAAAATAAATCCATGTTACCCACCAAAGCGGGGAATCCCCACCCCGTTAGGGTTGCGAGTATGCGCACTCCTAGGGGTAAAATTTCCCGTCTCTAGTCTAGATCCATCTCTTGTTAAACCAGGCCCCTCCCCCAACCAAATACTTGTGTCTCTAAATAGAGATGGGCATTTGGAAGTTGTCAGTGCCGACCAATGAGGCAATTTTAGCCAGTTAATGTCCGGTCCAACGAGGGGGGTGATTTTTTTTTCACGTTGTTTTGTTAGATATTTTGATCATATATTATAGTGTATGGAAAAGTTTGAAACCTTTATGGGATTAGGGGCCGTTTATCAATCGCTTACTCGGGTAAGTGAACACCAAGTCATTTTACCTTACTGGATGAATATGGTAAGGATCAAGAATCTTATTCGTTAAGAGCGAGACAAGGGCTAAGAGTCTAAGAGTCTTACTCGGTAAGTGAAGGCGATAACTCTTACCACGGTAAGCGTTTACCGGGTAAATTGTTGCATACAATACCATTTTGGTGGACGAAAATCTTATCCGGTAAGTAAATGATACTATTAAATTTATCGGTAAGCGTGTATCGGGTAAACGGCCCCTTAGACAAATATTTCATTTTACCATGTACAAATACAACTCACGGATTTTCAAGGTTGGGTCATTGAAAAAGAATGCTAGAGTTAGAATTTAGGGAAATTGGCTAAATAACCATTTCTCTCGTTAATTGATCTCCTAGCAATTCCTCTTAATTACACAAATGTCACTACCGATCTCATTTGTAGACCTAACTAAAACACAAAAAAAAAATTACAATTTTTGTCCAGGTCCGCAAGTGGTACCTCCAACACATGTGGACCTGGGTAAAAATCATGGAGGTGCTACTTGCAAACATGGATAGAAATAGCAAAAAAATGTATTTTAGATAGGTTCGCAAGTGGGGGAGATACCACTTGCAGAGGTAGCGACATTTGGGTAAAATCGGGAAAGAAATAACTAGTAGACCAATGCATGTAAGAGAAATCTCCATTTCGGTCGATTTCCCACCGGACACAAAGAGCGTCTGATTCTCAAAAGAAATTTTGAATTTTAGAATCTAATAAAAATTTATGTTGGAAGGTTAATAGAAATAATCATTTTCAGGCTTTGGATTCATCTTATGACCATTAATCTTCCTAAATTTCAAAAAACACACTACCTTTGCAAATGGCTCCAGAAGTGTTGAACTAATTTATAGATTTGATCTATAAACTTGCAGATCATGTTCAGGAACTTTTCTTTTACATTTCGACCCCTTCGTAAGTTAGGAGTTGCTACTTGTGGATGTAGTGACATTTTTTAAATATCAAGAGAAAAGGAGATAAATCTCAAAGCTTGAAAATTACTATTTTAATTAATTTCTTAATTATGTTATTTTTATCTATTAGAGCAAAAAAAAATCATTAGTTCATTTTTTTTATTTTAGAAAATTTGTTTGGAGGTATTTTACTATTGAAATTAACTTTTAGGAGTAAATTACATTTTTCATCCATGTATCTATCAAGACTCTAATTTTTAGAATAAACCACAGGAGTTTAAAAAAAAATGCAATTTTACACTAATTCTTATTTACAGATGTAATAAAAAAATAGTAAATAATATTTATAATTATTAATTATTTATATTATATGTATAAAGTATTTGGAAATTAAATAAAACATAAAACATAGTTTTCCACTGCAATTAAAAAGATGCAACATAAAAGAGACAAGTCGTATATTCATTGAGATACAAGATATTATTTGTAACCAATATTTAAAAAAATTCCTCAATTTTAGAAACCGTTTAAATAAATGATTATCGGTAAAATTTACTGATAAGCTTCAACACTCACTTATCTTTCTAGATAAAATTTTAGTCTATCAAAACGCATTATATGCAATAATTTACCTGGTAAATCTTAACCGGTCAAGGGTCGTGATCCTGATTGACCGTGTAAAACTCTCGGTCCTTACTATGGTGTTTACATGTTAAGATTCTCGGTCTTTGTCACTTTATTGGGGAAGCATACGACCCTTTTGTCAAAAGTAAAAAAAGGAAGGGTTTAAATTGCAATAAATAAAAAACTCTGCAACTTAACAAATACAAAATTGACCGACATCAACAAGACAATAATGCTTGTCGACGTGTCTGCAAATGTGTCATGTAGAAAACAATAGTTGACCATCGTCTACAGTGAAAATAGGTCTTGAAACACAGGGAATGGCTTAAAATAATCATTTCTATTTGATAAATTTACTTGTTAGCCGTTTAACTCTCACAAATTTCATTGGATCGTTCGAATAAATATAATAAAGACTAAGGATCTTATCCGGTAAGAACGAGACAAGGATCAAGAATCTTATACGGTAAGTGAGAGGGACGATTCTTACCATGGTAAGCGTTTATCGGGTAAATTGTTGTATACGATATCGTTTTGGTGGACTAAAATCTTACCCGGTAGGTAATTGATAATGTTAAATTTCACTGATAAGACTTACTGGGTAAGTGTTTGGTAAATGACCCTAAGTATGTCTACAAATAAGCTCTTTAATTTGCAGATGGGTCAAAATATATACTAAAAAAAAAAGATTTCTAAACGTGATTTGCAGGATCAAATCTGTAAATTAGTTAAAGGTACATAAATATTTGGAATTTTATAGATTTGGTTCTTATATTTGTAGAAACATCTTTTTTACACTTTGATCTTTCTGCAAGTTGAGTTGCTACTTGAGAAAATAGTGATATTTTGGAAGAAAAAAAAGCTAAGAGGTAATTTATAAGGCTCTGAAATAACTCTTGAATAATTTCCCTCAAAAATAACATTAAGAGTAAATTACATTTTCGTCCCTATGTTAAGAATTTCTATTTTCGTCCTTGAGGTTTTGAAATTATGGTTTTCGTCTTTATGGTTTGTAATTCATTGCAATTTTTGTCTTTATGATTACGATTTATTTTTGCTCCGTTCCTCATTATTTACAATTTGTTACTGTTTTGGTCCCTTATATTTGTGAAGGTAGGAATGTTAAAAATGTGTCCATGGACGAAAATAACAGTAAATTATAAACCATAACCATAACGAAAAAGAATTACAATTTCTTAAATTAAAATTATCAAATATAGGTTCAGACATAAAATGAGTGAAATTAGAAGGAACAAAAAAGCAAGATGAAAATTTATTGGGGTTCTCAGAGCATGCAGAATAAACTCATCATCTACCATTATGTTATTTTGTATCTTGAATTTACTTAAAAGTTGCATATGTGTTGGATTGATTGAGTTGAATACATTTGAACAAGCCAATCTAATGATTGCAGTTTGAAAAATCTCAACCTAACACCAATCAAACTGTGCAGGTTGTTTGGGTTGAAACTTTGCTATATCATTTTGCAATCTAGCAAAATGTTTTTGTTTAAGCGAAGTAAAATAAAAAAGAAGACATACAAAAAAGAAAGTTGAAGGTTCATGTAAATAAAAAAGTAAAATTACAGTTGATATTACATAATTTTGGATATAGTCAATTATGGATTGGTTTAATATCTAATGTTTATATGTTAATCAATGACTTAAAAATCATATTAAATCTATAATATAGAAGTGCATCAGGTTCATTGGGTTGGATTGAGTTCAAATAATCCTAACCTAATTCCAACACAATAGATGCGGGTTCACCTAATTTTTTATCAACTGTGTTGGGTTACCTCGGATTGAGTTTTTTCGTGTTGGGTTGGCCGGGATAGTCGGTATTTTGAGCACTGCTAACGTGTGCTATAGAAAACTAATATGACACTGTATTTTAAATGTCCTAAAAACTTGTTAGAACGCTAAAAAAACGTTCTATCAACTTAGGTGGTGTTTGTTTTTTAAGAGGTGCTGAAGTCTGAAGTCTGATTTCACTTCTGATTTATAAGAGGTGGTGCTGAAGTCTGAAATCTGAATCAGTCAGACTGTTTGTTTTTACGTCTGAAGTCTGAAATCTGAATCAATATAAACACGAAAAAAGTCTCATAACGACTAGAACCAATATTCATATTGCATTAATTGTGTCGCCATCATCCCTTGCTCATTGGTTTGATCATATTCAGAAAATAACTCATATATAGGAGAGATCGATTTGTAGAGATCGTTTTGGATAGATCGGTAGCTTGAGACCGAGCGAGAGATCGATATGGTGTCTAGATCGTATGATGTGGATAGATCGGTATGATTTGGTAGCTGGAAATCAAAGCGAGAGAACGAGAGATCGATATGGTGTGTGAATAAGAGCCCATTAAGAGTTTAGACTACCACTTAAAAATTCAGAGGACAATAAGAGCTTTTCAGCTCTTATTTTCAAAAAAAATCAAACGGTCTGAAAATAAAAACGTCTGACCGATTCAGACTTAAGAGGTATTAAGAGTTTTTTTTTTTTAAAACAAACAAGCCCTTATTGTAACATATTGTTTCTAAAGAAATTTTTGTCGTACTACATTTATATAAGACGCACAACTATCGATCTTATGAATTGAAGTCACAAAAACAGTCTTTTATGATGTTTAGTGCATGTTTATTAGCAGCTTAAGGAGACTCATTGTTTGGCAGTGACTTAATGATATAGAAAATGACTTATTCAGGAAGCTTCTAAGTGGGAGTTTTATGCAAATTGTCAAGTATTCTCCAAACATGTCCCTCCTAATTAAAAACATGTCTTTTCAACTCTCTTTCATCTATGAAAAACTCTTACAAACAAAAACCTTCCGAATGTATACAGACATATTAATCCCCACAAACAACTTTAATCAGGATCATCATACTTTCTTGGTACATATTATCTAACTATAAATACAAATTAAACTAGTCTAACATATACAGAGTCAGGTTCATACGAAAACAGTAACCAAATAAAAAACACACGAAAAACGACATAATCATATGTAATTTCACATTCAATCACGTATAAAATCACGCGTGTTTCACCTGACCTTGTCCGCGACATGTTCTCGAGCCAGGTCTCCCGCACACCCTTCCGTTCACCATTAGTGTAAAATCAGATATAATTTTACACATGATTTGACCGTTTTCGTTTGTATCTTATTTTGTTACTGTTCTATCTCTGTGTAAATATATTACAATTAAAGTTGATTTAAAAATTATTTTGTTTAATTTAAAAGAAAAAAAATAATGAGATTAAAAATGAGGTGTTTTTGTCTGAGACGGTAGAGATAATATTAATGATGGCTCCGAATCCATATGAGATATTGAGTTTCTGAAATCAACATACACAAAGTTGTCCATATTAACCAGGGTTAAGCCTTTGCATGTTATCATATGGGTCTCATTGGTCCCTCTCTTTTTTAACCTTTTGCTTTCTTATATCACATCAACCCACTACTTGCGTCTCTTATTTGGTAAGAGTCTTCTCTCTCACTTACCGGTTAAGAATCTCAGTTGTTGTTATGCCTCTTACCATTCTCATTTACCTGGTAAGCGTTTTAGCTGTTGATTGTAGTTTCATCCGGTTGAGTTAAGTCATTGTCGATGAAATAAAGTCTTTTGTTTGTGAGGCCACGGGTTCAAGTCCTCCTTTCAACAAATTTTTGGCTTTTCGACAACCAGACAAGGTTCAAATTATTGACCGTCCCTCTACAACGACGGAATCTACCATTTTCATATTAGAAGTATTAATTTCTTATCGATGTTATATTGTCCACTTTATAATCGACTCAGTGACGGATCCATGATTTTTGCCTAGTGGGGGGACCTTAAAGTAGATTAAAGGCTCGCAAAGTTGTCCGGTGTGTTTTTAGCAGCTAAGTTCATTGTTTCAAAGGGATTTTTAAAGTCTTTTGATTGATTTCGAGAGATTTTTAAGTTTTTTGTCGATTTCGAGGGATTTCATCTGTTTTTGTTGTTGATTTTGAGATACTTTTTTGGTTGATTTTAAGTTTATTCTTTTTGTTGGTGGGGGCACATGCCAGAAATTACTGGTGGGTACTGGTAGGAAGTTAAAGAAAAAATTGTTGTTAACGAGAATTTTTTTTAATGAGGGCCCATCCCCCACTATTTGTATGCTATTTCCGCCACTATCATCATATGCACAAATATGATCGTTTACGATTGGTCGATCATATAGTTTGAAAAATAAATTTAAAAAAATAAAAAACAAAACAAAAAGTTGATCAAAATACTATTAAGAAAACTATAGCTGGTATAAAGTAGTTGAGTTGTACCAAAAAATTAAAAATAATTTTAATTAAATAAATCTGCATTTATTAATAGTTTAGTATAAAAAGTAATATGCGTATTAAATTTTTAATTTAGTTATTTTGAGTTATAAATTATATTTAAATAATTTATTTTCTTAATTAAAAATGAAAATTAGTAAAAAAGAAAACATGAATACCTACCAAAAGGTCTTTGGTTTAGCGGTATCTGAGTCTCTTGTCTCCTAAGAGGTTAGAGGTTCAAACCTCACTCTATTATATCTTTAATTCTCCAATGATTCCCCTCAGTAACGTAGCCCGTTTTAACGAAACCCCTTACTCTCTTGCTTGAGTAAAGGGTCTACCTGTATATTATTACCGCTAGTTTTTACGGTCATGCTACAATCATAAAGTCTTTATTGTACACTTGAACCCCTTTTAAATCATAAAGCTGCTGCTTACAGACCTATCAACATTTTTGAAACAAACGTCTTAAAATGAAATCACTTTAAATTGGGGAATTTCCAAGAAAATTCCATTTGGAGACCGAATCCAGAACATCCTCAAAAAACCCATAGTACACTCCAAAACACCGCACGCCATTAACTTGAAACGTCACCCTAACCAATACGATTCCAACCACCACTCCATCTCACATCTCCATTTTCAACCTCCACTGAATTCACCTTCCATGGACTTCGCCACCGGCGAAGACCACCACCACCAACCCATCGAACACCTCTTATCATCTCCGATCGTCTTATCGGAACGAATCCGTCAAGCCGTCGACGAATCAAAGTCCTACAAACTCGAATGCTCCGACGTCGGAAAACTCGTCGACCGTCTCTCTCAAATGCTCCGATCATTCGTCCGGTTAACCAATTCCACTCCTTCCTTCTACGACCGCCCCGTCCGCCGTGTCTTCTCCGACGTCACCAGAAACCTAAACCGTGCCCTAACCCTTGTACGGAAGTGCCGCCGGCGGAGCGTCTTCCTCCGAGTCGTCACCATCGTCGGCGCCGCTGATTTCAGGAAAGTTCTTAACATTCTCGATGCTTCGATTGGTGATATGAAGTGGTTGCTTAGTATCTTCGACGCCAGCGGAGATATCTCTGCCGGCGTCGTTCTGTCGTTGCCGCCGATTGCAAGCAACGATCCGATTTTGGCTTGGGTTTGGTCTTATATATCTTCTCTTTATTTATCTCCATTAAATGTTAAAATCGAAGTTGCAAATGAATTGTGTTCATTAGCTAATGATAATGATCGGAATAAGAAAATGATTGCGGAAGAAGGTGGGATTCCGCCATTGATGAAGCTTCTGAAAGAAGCTGCATCTCCGGAATCCCAAATCGCCGGCGCCACCGCACTATTTAACCTGGCTAACGATCGAGACCGAGCCAGGTTAATCGCCGGCGATGTTGGTGTTTCGACTATCGTCCAAGAATTTGGGAAATCCCCAATTAGGGTTCAGATTGCGATCGCGAAATTGATTGCGAGAATGGCGGAAAACGATCCGCTTTCGCAAGAGGGTTTCGCGAGAGAGAATGTTATTCGACCACTTGTGACGTTATTATCATTCGAAACATTCGTTGATGAAGATAAACTTCATGATCAGTATCGGTACCGGTATCAGAAGCAAAGTATTCATTCGATTCTTGAAATCAATAAGCAAATAACAAGAAATTACCAAGTGGGTTCTTCGTCTTCTTCAACATGGTCGATGAACCGGAAAGAACGCGAAAGCGAGCCTCCGGAATTGAAGCTCGAATTGAAGACGAGTTGTTCGAAAGCATTATGGATGCTTGCAAGAGGTAATCTTGCAAACTGTAGAATACTTACAGATACAAAAGGATTACTCTGTTTAGCGAAGATTATCGAAACCGAAACAGGGGAATTGCAGATTAATTGTCTAATGACAGTAATGGAAATCACATTAGCAGCGGAATCGAATGCCGATCTCAGACGGGCAACTTTCAAGACGAATTCCCCAGCTGCGAAAGCCGTAGTGGATCAGTTTCTAAGACTGATTCAAGAATCAGAAAAGTCCGAAATCACGATGCCGGCCATTAGAGCAATCGGTTCATTAGCTCGAACCTTCCCAGCTAGGGAAACCCGAGTCATTGGTCCTCTAGTCAAGCAACTCAGTCACCAGAATCCAGAAATCGGATTGGAATCAGCAATCGCTTTAGGGAAATTCGTGTGCCCGGATAACTTTCTTTGTACCGAACATTCGAAAACCGTAATCGAATTTGATGGTGTGGTGCCGTTGATGAGATTGTTAAGAGGGAGCGAGAAAACACAGTATCACGCGTTGGTGGTTCTGTGTTATCTCGCGTTGCACGCCGGAAACAGCGAAGCCCTTGTGCAGGCTAGGGTTTTGACAGCTTTAGAAGGGGCAGATAGAGCCATTGTTGGTCAACATTCCGAGTTAAAGGAATTGGTGGTTCAAGCCATATATCATCTAAATATGTATCATGCTGGTGTGGTTCCTCCTCAAAGACCATCATACTCGACCTAAAGAGTTTGAGGTTAACCACAACGGTCGTGGCGTACTGGTTGATGTCCCGAGGGACGTGGTGCGATATCCCTTCTGTACAAGGTTTGATTCCAGGTGTATATAACAACTGCGGCCATTTAGTTTATCCGGACTGATTTTCTTTCCGTGACGGTCTGGGTTAAAAAAAAGAATTTGAGGTTGCATTTAGGCCCAACACTTCCCATAACAAATCTCCGAGGGTCCGTTTGGTTTGCATAATTATTTTTTAGGGATTCGGATTTCATGGAGGGATTTGGATTGGAATGAATTTGAAATCATTTGTGTGTTTGATTTGTAAAATTTTGAATGAAATTATTTATAAATAATTTATATAAAAAATTAAATTACAAATTTTTATTAATCGATTATTATAAAATAAAATGTTTTTAACATTTTTAAAACTTTATTTCATACAATCCCATGAAATCCCGAGTACACCCTAAATTCTAGGATTTCAGATCCGTACGATACAACAAACTAAACATGAGATTAGAATGGATTTTGAAATTTAAATCCCTTCAAATCCGTGCCATTACTGTAAACCAAACGGGACCTGAGCATTCAATTCTTCCGTTTGTTCAAGAAAATGGTGGTAATTTAGAGGGGAAAGTGATAGATAAATTGGGATTTAGGAAAGAGAAAAGGGTTTTGTATCGAATTTTGTAGCTCGTATTTTTACGAGAACAGTTTCTGTACTTTTTATAGTAGAGGTTAGGTCTGTATATATTTCTATCTGTAATTGGATATGTCGGATTCGTTTGGTGAATTGTGTAAAAATGGAGGTCTTGGGCCAAGGTGATACTTTTGAACACAATCTTTCATCATGTTTTTGATGCATTTCAAGATTTTCTTGGGAATGAATGATGGGTTTGATCTTTGTATTTTGTTCTCATGTTACCATAGAAAAAACAAAGAACCTTCTAGAATAGTAGTTTGGAATCTTGGGTTAGAAAATAAAATTCTTTTAGGGATCGTTTACCTAAATGCTTACCTAGCAAGTGCTTACCGTAAGGAGTCAACACTATATTTAAAAAATGGTATTGTATGCAACAATTTACACGGTAAACACTTACCCGGGTAAGAGTTGTTACCCTCACTTACCGAGTAAGACTCTCTATCTTTATCATTGCTCTTACCGGATAAGATTTTTGCTCCTTACCATGTTCATTCAATAAAAAATATTACCCAGTAAACACTTACCGGATAAACGTTTAGTAAACGTCCTCTTAATATTCAAATTTTAATACAACCGTTATTTACTTACTTTTTACGGTAGATGTAAGGTCTGTGAATGTTTTTACTTTAAAATTCTATCTGTTAGTGAGATACACTATGCTGGTTTTGTGAAATGTGTAAAAATGGAAGATTTTGGACCAAGGTGATAACTTTAACCACATCTGTCATGTTCTTTTTTGATGCATTTCAATATTTACTTGGGAATGAAAGGTGAGTTTGACCTTTGTGTTTGGTTTTTGTATTTAGAAAAACGAAGAATCTTCTAGAACAGTAGTTTTAGAGGCAGTAATTTTTTGGAATCAAAGGTGGGTTTGATTTCAGAATCTTCTAGAAGAGTAGTTTCAGAAATATTTAATGCTAGAGGATTCCTTACCCAAAATAGAAAGAACTTATTAAACTCAAACTTACCATAAAGAGACAATAATAAATACAATCCATACTTTGACAATCTCAAAATAAGTGTATAATAAATTAATTAAGGATAAATTTGTCATTTAGTTGACTAAAAAGTGTAATAATTATGCATTTTTAAAGTTACACGTCATTTTTATTGTAACCACTTATTTTGTGACGCAGTGAGGATTACATAAATAGTTTAACAAACAAGATTGCTTGTCAAATTATCTAAAACTCATTAAAAACAAAGTAGAAAAATATCATGAACCAAACGAGTTTCAGTATATCTTATCAAGAGGCGAAAACAATTAATAATAGCACAACAACAGTGTTTTAACGTTGCTATAGCGGTGCATAATATCAGTCTCGCACATCGCAACGCTTTTTACCGTTGTTTATCATATGAACCCTATTTTCTTCTGCTATACCACCACATTACCAACGGAATAACCATTATATCAAACCACTGTCCTGATTGCAATTTCAATTTCAAAAATAGGCCAGCCCAAAGGTGGGGTCACGAGTCCGTATATGGTGGGACCCAGAGGTTAAGATGTACGCTGGAATTAAAAAAAAATGTTAAAATAAAAAACATGCAAATCATTGCAGTTTACAAGGGACTATGAAATTCCAAATACATATAACCAAAATGCTTTACAAGGGAGTATAAGTTCCAAATACATATAACCAAAATGGAAGATTAAAACCGAGCTCAACGCGAAGATGGCAAGGCACGCCAATTGTCCGTAAGATCAAGGGCTCGTTGTCGAGAAGATGGTGAAAGTTGTTGGAAGACAACGTTCTTGACGTGAGCTGCAGCCGACTCACCCGCACGCGTTGCTAGCTCTAGGTAAACCGCAGCCTTCATCATCTCCCCTTCCTATGTCAAACCACGATTACAACTTATCTATATACACTATTTTCGTTCAATAATAAATTACGTTCCAAATTTATTTAGAGTCGATGTTATCAATAATGACAAAACAGAAGAATCTTGTGGACCCATATCAATATCATCACTCTCGGCAACAAAATAATAATCCGGCAACCACAGGTACTCGTAGCAATTTGACTTTCAAAGGTCGGCCAAAATTCTTCCTAAGGGTCTGTTTGTTAGCAATTTAATGAGCTTAATGGGACTCACAACTTATTCGGTCAGCTATACATAAATGTCTAGTAGTGGCTTAATGATATAGAAAGAGACTTATTTGGTAAAGCTTCTAGGTGGGGAGCTTTATACAGAAAGACAAGTTTTTTTCCCGAACCTGTCTTATCCCAATTAAATAAAAAAGCTCCTTTCATATATTAAAAATTCTTCCCAAACAAAATCTTCTCAATCTACATGGACAGATTAACCCACAAAGACATCTTTATTCATACAGGACTTAATGGAAAACCAATCAAACAACCCCTAACTTTGAAATTGATATGCAAAAAAAAAGGTCAAACCAGACAGACCCAGTTAATCACGTTCGAAAGCAGGGTCTACGAAACGTGAGATGTACGCAGACCGCACCTCTAGCCCATAAGAATAGAGCAACTGGTTCCATGAAAACTCTCAACTTGTGCAAGAGTGTGAACAAACACGTAGCAGGAAATTGATATGCTTGTGTTGCCATTAATTTGCAACTGGTAGTACGTGTAAAAGTAATTTAAATGTCGGGTGAAAAAGTAATACCGAAAAAAGAGCAAGTCCATGCTCAAATAGAGCTTTACTATGACCATGATCAGCCGCTCGCTTCATCCATTTCCGAGCTTGATGATGGCTTTGCAACAAACCCACGCCTAAAGAGTAACACAACGATGAATTATACATGGCACGTGCATACCCACCCTTTGCAGCTCGTAGATACCATTTCGCCTATTAAAAAAAAACAAACGATACAATCAACATCTGTAATCAAATGGACCCACTAAATCTCACTGGGGAGGGTAAGATATGTGCATACCTTACCTTTACCCCTTGAAGGGTAGAGAGACGGTTTATGTGAAGACCCCCATACTAAATTTTGTATTTGACAGTATTATGTTCAAACAACATATTTACTCTGCGGTAGAGGTCAAGTCTATATACATCCCACCCTCCATACCTCACCTCCAGGGGGAACATACTGTGCTTGTTTCGTTTGGTTTACAATATTATGTTCAAACATAAAACAGCAGAGTAGCTCTCTTTTTGGAATTGCATGGTTTTACAACTGTCGTAAAGAATATAACGGTCGAGCAAGCAAGCATACCGCTTCTGATAGATTCTGGTCCGTCCCACTACCCCGATGCAAACAAAGAGCAAGTTGATATTGAGCACGAACATAGCCAGCACTAGAAGCTCGACGAAACCATTTAACAGCTTCCTCCAAGTTAGGCAGTTCAGCTGCAATTGTTTAAGTGCGTCAAGAAACTTAATGTCTGTTCTGTTAGCAACTTAATGAGCTTGATGGGACTCACAATTTATTTCGTCGACTAAACTGTTTGGTAGTGGCTTAATGATATAGAAATGACTTATTCAATAAGCTTCTAGGGGAAAGCTTCATGCAAAAAGACAAGTTTTATGCAAACCCGTCCTTCCCAATTAAAAAACACGCTCTCCCATTTATGAAAAAACCCTTCAAAACAAAAAAAATTCCAATCTATATAGACAGATTAATCTATACAGACAATTTTATTCATACATGATTTAATGGAAAACCAACCAAACAGCCCAAACCTTAGCAACAGCCATGGTGTAACCAAATTATGGAAGAATCTAAGGAACCCCGAATTGGATTACATCTATATCGAAGTCTATATTTTTCTCTTTTTGGGTACCCGTGGATTTTCGAGTTAGCTTACACACACCGACCAATCCCCCGACTTACCACAAATGGCTTGGAGTCCAAAGGTGAACCTCCATGGCCACAAGGAACCTGGATTTGAACCAGCAATCTAATTTTCTATCTAGTGAAATTAGGCCTGTTTGTTGGTAGCTTAATGAGCTTAATGGGGACTCACAGCTGATTCTGTCAGCTATAAGTGACTGGTTGATAGTGGCTTAATGATATATAAAGTGCCTTATTCAGTAAGCTTCCCCTAGTTTCTAGGAGGGCTTCATGCAGAAAGCCAATTTTTTCCCAAACAAAAACCCTACAAAACAAAAACCTTCTCAGTAAACACATAGTCACATTAAATCTACTTTTCAAGTATATGAACCAGCAATTCTCACAAATTATACAAACCCCATCATTCTTGGAAACCATAATAATCTAAAGAAATGGCATACACAATTCAATTCAATTCAAACACCCATTGATTTCGTAACTATACCAAAACCCTAGCTTTCAAAAACCCCCCAAATTCCCAAAATCAAAACACGAATCGATCAAATCCATCACAAATCTTCAAGTATTCAAACACGAATTACACAAATATCCAAAAAGAATCAATATTCACCTTGTAGATACGAAATCCCCAAATTGCACTGACCAGCTGGATCACCAAGCTCAGCAGCTCTTCGATACAAATTCACACCTTCTTCCTTCTTCCCCATCTCCCAATAAATCAATCCAGCATCCACCATAGCTAACGTCGACCCACGCGCCACCCCTTTTAAGAACGAATCCAAAGCTTTCTCCATGTCACGCTTCACCCCTCCACGGCCGTGCTTCAACCGTTTCCCCCACCATAAAAACAACATCGCCTCCCTCAACGGCCGTAATCCGTCCCTCCACGATTTGCACACCAACGACGTCGTTTGTAAATCCGGGAGGCTGAAATTCGCTGCGATTCTCGTCAGTACGTCGTTAGGTAGCGCCGAGAAATCACGGTGGTCGGATTTTCGAGAACACGGCCAGAAAGATGGCCGGAATTGGGGGATTTTGGATGGACTCGATTCGATTTTTTGAGTTGAATTAGATGGAAGGGTTGAGAAATGAGAAGTTTCTGATCGATATGGCCAAGTACGTTCTCTCATTTTTTGATTGAGTTGGAGAAAGATTTCTGGGTCGAATTGGGTTTTGTTTGTAAGGTAATCAATGGCGTCGGAGATGGATGATTTGGCGGCCACGAGGATGACGTGTGAGTGGTGAGTTGTGAAGTGAATATGACGACGAATGTAACGTCACATTTTCTGCATGGTTCGAAATAAGTATGTTTCACTGTTCATAATTTCTTTTTTATATAATATATCCAACTACTTTTCTTCATTTATATATAACTAAAAATATTCGCACAATATAATATAATGAGATAAATCTTTATTTTAATATTTAGTTTTTATTATTTGTCTTTATTGATATAATATGATTTTATATAATTTTAGAAAATGATATTATTTTTATTTTTTAATGAAATATAAATTTAAAGATAACATCAAAAATTTTAAAAAAAATAAAATCGATATTAGTATTAAATTAACTATTTAATAGTTCTCGTTTTTTTGTTGTAACTTCTTTAATTCAATTTTTTATTATAATTTAATTTAAGTCTAATAACAAAATAATTGATTTTTGGTTTAATAATAAATTTTTTTTATTAAAGATATAATTAAACATTTAGTTAGAAACTCAATAATTATCTTAATTATATTTTAAATTTTTTATATTTAAAATATATGTTTATCCTGTATTTGATTATATATATCTGCAATTAGTTACACAAATTTAAAAATGAAACTTTAATAAGTTGTACTTACGCAAAATCACTTGTAATCTTGAATTTTAAGTAATATGTATCAATAAACAATACTTAATTCATAAAAAATGATTTGTAAGAGTTTTTTCAAATGTTTTATAATATAGTATAGATATATTCACATTTACTGAACATATATACAAAAGTTGTAGAGAGATGGAGAAAGAAATTGAAAATACGTAGATGAAGAGGGTGTGTGGTGGTGTAATTATCTACTGTACATATTAATAAAGACTTAACAATCATATTAAATGTAAAAAATAAAATGATGTCGGGTTCAGGTGATCAGTTAAATAACTCCTTGGACAATTTAAAACATGTTAAATAACTCATTGGACAATTTTTTGGAACAAATAAAACTTGGACAATTCAAAACATGGTAAATAACTCCTTGGACTTTTCTAAAACATGTTAGATACATTCTTATGACTTGTACAACTAGTTAATGTGGTAAAATAGTAAAAAAATCCAAAAAAAACTCAATGAACATTTATATTTTGAATGATTAAATCTCTAAACATTTTTTTAACCAAAAATGATTTAGATCTATAAAATTAAAAAAATATAACAAAAAAGTACTTACATTTACAAAAAAAAATACATTAAATTTTTTTTTGATAAAATTTATTTTAATTAAAATTAAAAATATATTTAGTCA